ATGGGGAAGGAGCAAATACCACTTTGCATGGGGATTTGGCAAAGAGGTGGATTTGAGATTGCAGGACGAGCAAGGAGACTGACAATGGAGGAGGGTGAACAAACTAACAGGACTGGCCAGTGGCAAACAGGGCTGTTGTCAGAAGAAAACTATGTCAGTGCCAGAAGCAACAAATTGTACCCTTTGAAAAAGACATGGGGATCAGCTGTTCCAGCAGCAGGTACAGCCCATACAGTGCACTGCTTGCAAAGTCCTTTACTGTTGCATATGAAGTTAAAGCGTTGCATATGGAGGGGTGACAATACCTGTCTCCCCACCCTCTCTGGAGGAAGCAAGAAGAGCAAGCTCCAGGGTTTTCATTTCAGTTTCCCTGCCTGTCCCACATTCCCTCTTCACAGCAACAGCAAATCTTGCCCTACTCTGTTTCCATTTTTGTTCTCTCTTCCTAGCAGTTCAGCAGTGACTTTGGACTAGCATTAATCTTCTTATGGAGAAATGGGAATGACTTAAACATTTGGGAGATGGAAAAGGAGGGGAAACTCTGGATTTTAGGAGAAGGCAAGGCTGAGCATGGCCAAGGAAAAGAGGAAGATGGGGAGAGGTTTTCAAAACTCAGATTGGCTTTCTAAATTTAAGGCTGACAGGCCTTACTGTGTCTTAGAAGGCAAAAAGAGTGTGAAGGGTGAGCAGGATGCAGTAGAGCTGCTGTGAGGAGAGCTGATGCTGTGGTGCAGAGGAGGAAGCTGAGCTAATGACAGAAGGTAAAAATTGTCCTCAAGTGGTGCTTACACAGCCTGTTCTCTCTGCTGCTCTCCATCCTACAGCAGGGGAGATGGTAACAGTTGAACCACACCAGTCAGTGGGATCTGGCAGGTAAGAGGGCCTTTCCAGAAGCTGTGGAATTCTTAATGGTGTATCCAACCCCATCCCAAGGGATGTGCTCTCCCCCTCTGCATGGAAGAGGCAGAAAGGCAAAAGCAAATGAGGGCATGTTTAATATTTGCAAAATGGTGTCAGAATTCCCCAATGTGGAAGTGTGAAATGCCCAGGGTGGCCTTAGGAAGGGAAGAGTGGTGTTTCGTGTGGACCTTGAGAGAGGAAGAGAATTTGGCTCCAGTGGCAAAACAGGGCAGCTGCAGCTTTAAGAACAAATAGCTTATGTGCAGCTCTCCTTGCTCGCATCTGCATTTCGGTGTATAATTTGAACATCTCACAAGAGTGCTTTCAGATGCTCCTGTGAATGTTTTATGAGCTGTTAAGAAGTGGAGTGCGTATTAATGAAAGTCTGCAGCCGCCACTGCGTGGGGAGGGCACGGGTGCCTATTTTGGGCTGACAGAGTGATGTGCAATAAACGTCTTGTGTTCAGGAGGCCAGCAGCTGCTCGTCACTGGTGCTTAACTGCTTACCCACCACATCTCTCCTACGAGCATCGCTCACAGGTTTAATGCTGCTTTGTTCTAATTTCCGCCACTGGCTGCCTGCAGATGTGCACGAAAGTAGCACGCGTGCAGATGCGGAAAGGGTCGGTCTGAGGGCGAGAGCCTCCGTATTGTGGATAGCTGTATCTGAGCCGGTCTCCTGGGGTGATGGTCACTGGAAAAGAGTGGACTTTCTTAGGTCATAACTCATCTGACTTATTTTATGCATGTCTTTAAAAGGGTATGAATTATGGCCTGCTGGGACTGCTTTCCTGTCGTGTACTGGGAGGGAAGCCTGCAGTCACTTGCTCTGATTTAGATGTAGATGTCCGAATTTGGTCAGCATGCCTCACCTGAGACCTTTCAAGAGTTTCCAAGCATTTGTACTCTCACCAGTGACTTACTAGACAGCTCACACATGGTGCAGTAAGGGATGTGTGTGTTATGCACAGCTACCTGCGAACTGCAAGGAGGTAGTAGTGCTTTTCTATAAGTGGGTTCTATAGTGTAAAACCTAATGCCATTGCTACTGAATTAATGGAGAGAAGTGTAACAAAACAGCTATAAGGAACAGGGAACAACTTACACCATCTGGATGCAGAATGCAGAAATTGCTTCACTTTCACAGATTTTCATTACTTGCTCCAGTCTGCCTTCTCTTTTTCTATTCCTGGATCTGGTCCCTTATCTTTCACTCTCCTTTTGTCACATTTTTCAGCTCCTGAGGCAAGAGAGGCTTCCCTGAAGCTGCTGCCACAAGGAAAAAAATGTTTTCTGTCTCTCATTACCTCCCTAAGTGGCAGCAGAAAATAACTTTTTCTCCCTTAACTTCTCTCCCTCTTTGCTGTGTGTTTTCCTTTGCTGTAAACAAGGAGTGTACCTTACAACATATTGCAGGAGGTGTTTGGGTGGAAGACATTCTGCCAAACAAGATGAAGCTGATGATGAAGCTTGGAGAAAGATGCTGCTAACAATCCCCACCCACCACCTCATTTTGGAGGGATGTTGAACTGTAGCTAATAGTGAGAGGTAGAGGCCACATTTTGGAGGGATGTTAAACTGTAGCTGATAATGAGAATTGAGCGCCGTGCCTTGCAATGTTTGCAAACCACATGTAGAGCAGCCATCCACAATGGAATGTGCTTGGCAGGCCTTGGGTTTTTTTGGGTGATAGCATTGAATAAAAGTGGGTTTGCTCCTTTGTATGAGGTGATGCATACAAACATAGTGCAAGGATTGTATTTCCTTGGAAGAATTTAAAGCTGCATTTTTTTTCAGCAATCATGCAATCTTCTGTTTCTCCTCTGCTTGCCAATTGCAGGTACTACATGAGCCCTTGATTGATGAGGATCCCATTTTCATTGCCACGTGCACAGAGAGGGAGCTGCGTAAGAGGAAAAAGAGGAAATTCAGTCTCTGGGTTCGGCAGTGCTCATCCACTGGTTTCATCTGCCAGGTGGGTTTTACCTCTTCAGATGTCTTGATTTAGTTCCAGCAGGCCCTTAAGTGTATTGCAGGAACAAAGGTAACAGTCACTTCTCTTCATTGCCTTGCCAGAGTCTAGAATTTGAATGCAGCAGGCCTCTGACTCGCACAAATTCTAGATCTGACGGACAGTGATGACAAGTTCCTGGTGCTCTGTTTGCTATATGATTTAACTGAGGGTGCCTGTCTCTAATACTGTCCATCTGGCTGCCAGCCCTAAGCTAATTAAATTGAAATGGAGTTAAAAGATCTGTCTGTTTGTACATCCTAAGTTTATCTAAATGTCTAGGTACTGTGACTTCTGCCATTTTTAATGAGTCAGCTTCTCTAAGTCTAACGCTGCATCTGTGATAGCCAGCGGTGTCCAATAGGCTAAATCAATATGGTATCAAGTTGTCCATTTTTCTGTGAGAAGCATATTAGCAGGGGTTCCTATTGCATCTCTTTTCACACTTCTGCTTCTCTACCAAAGAAATAAAATCTGATGTGACCTCAAGGTGAGATAATGAGCTTGAGTGGGAGATGTTAAAGCGTTTGTTTTTAGTGTTGTAAGGCATGGGGGACAACTTTTTATGTTCTCAAGCTCGCCAGCTGCTGATGTATTTTGAGTGCTCTTGAAGAATCTGGCTGTTTATTTTGATACCTAGAGGTGAGGGGGCAGGTATTTTCTGATATTTCTTTTTTTCAAGAGCTTCTGTGAAAACGTGGTGTCTTGCATGTTCCAGAGCAGTGGTTTGGAGATGCAGGTAGGACATGCACACTGCCTGCTCAGGCTGAATGCATGTCAAAACTACAGGGCCTGTGGATTTGCTGCAGTTGAACGTTTGTTCACAGTAAAATTTGATCCATGAATCACTAAGACTGTTTAGGTAGCTGTGCGAGAAAAGAGGCTTGCTGGGAACAGAGGTTTGCATTTTCAGCAATGTTGTTCACTCTGAGAAGAAAATTAGGGGCATACATCTTCCGTCCAGGTTTTAAAGCAGTTGTTTTGTCCAATACAAAATAGATTCACCTTGTGAAGTATCCTTGGAAGTTTCCGCTCTCAAGGCTTTTGGGAAGTCGTTTGCTACACGGAGGCAGTGTCCTTAATCTCCAAGGTGAACTCCACCAGTTCCACATACAGTTTATTACTGAAGCGTGATGGGTACAGCGAGCACAAAGTTTGCTGATCTGTCTTGCCATGCTCCCCCCAGCCAACTGCCACCAAACTAATAAGTTTTCAGACATGCCAGAGGTTTCAGATTCTGAGCTATAATTACGTTGCACCTCCCCTCCTGTCCATTGAGAGAGTAAATTAATGGAATGTCAAATGAAACAGAATAGATGCTCAGCACCACCCTAATCCTCCTGCTCCCTTAATGAATTAGATGATACTCATGCTTCACTTGCATCCAGATGACGTCCAGGGTCATCTTACCAACTGCCTTCTGTTTTCACTCCATGGCTTGGCTGTAATTATCATCATGCTAAAATGAGAGGGACCTTAAGGAAGAGTGAAAAAGAATATACAGGAACACGAACATTCATGCTAAATGGAAAAACCTAGTCTGGGGAGGATAGGGATCTTCACCTACGGTATGCTTGCAATGCTACATTCAGTTATGTGTCACACTTGCAATGGATCTTGCAGAATCCAAAGCACTTATGTGGTGCTTGTTTGGTTTATTTAGTGTATTAAAACAGGGAGGTGTTTCTTCTGTGTTTGACGTATGGAGAGCATTGATCTAAACAAGTAAATCCAATGTTTTCCCCCTTCATGGGCCCACTTTCCTCTCCATCTCTTGTGAAACTGCCATCGTGAAGGAAAGACTTGTTGCCTGATAGTTAAGGACTGACTACTGTTAAAGAAAAAAGCATCACCTGTTTGCTGTCAGAAAAACCTTAAAGCACCCACTTGGTAATATGTAGAAACTCTGTAACACTGTCTGGTTTCCACATGATAATATTAAGGTCATTTGATTCAGGATAAAATATGACTATAAACACTTCATAAATCAGGCTAATTCAGTTTCAAAAGTCTGAATAATATATGTCTATAAAAAGGTGAGGCATCCCAGGCAAAAGAGAGAAGTGAGCGACATATGACCGGCTCTCAGGAATGGAAGGAACCTCAAGAGGTCTGTGATGCTTCTCATCAAAAGAAAGGTCCTCTAAACCCAAATGATGAGCCTGATGTTAAAAATATCTCCGTTTGAGAACATCCCAGTTTTCCCAGTGATCTTCTTTTCCTACAGTGAAAGGAGTTGGTTGGTTTGTTTTCCTAATGTGAAATGGATATCAGTGTTTTGAAGTCACATGCTGAGCTACTCTGTGAACAACTCCTGGTTGACACCTCACAGGGCAGTTGTGTTAATGTTAGGAGTTTTAGCTGCTTGACTCCCCAAATTCCTCTGCTTGTTCTCATGAACAAAACTCTGAATCACTTTTTTGCGAGTGAGTAAATACTTCTGTTTAATTGTTTATCATTTGCTTTTTTAAGCAAATGGTGTTTGGTCAGAAGTGCAGCCCAGTAAGCCATTCACGGAACAGAAGTGGCATAAAACCAAAATATTACTTGCGGATGTAAGAAGGTGCATAGGCTTATATATGCATAACATAAATAATGTGTATATATTAGACTACTTTTCTGTCTTCTGTAATACAGATAACCTGACTCCACCCTGACAATTACGTCTCTGTTTTAAGCTGGATGCACAATTTCAGATCATGTCTCTGCTTCAGAATTTCTCAACCATCTTGTTGCAGTGAATAGCTTTCTTGCTGAGTATCTTTTCATAGTCAGCTGGCCAAGTGGGAACATGCAGGAAGGACACATCATTTAAACAAAATAAATACACGTCTACAGCGGCTGGGAACATGAACAAAACCTTTCAGAGGGTTAGAAGGGCTCCAGGAGAGCTGACTTTGTCAAAGTAGGCAGCAAAACTGCCCTAATACTGTTGCCTTTTTCAGCCATCCTTGATGCTGGATATCAAGGTGGCAGCAGCAGCTGCTGCAGGAAGGGGCTTGGGCCTTCTTGTTTCTTTCTTTCTAATTCAATGAGAACAGCAAACTGAGCTTGCAGGACCTCAGGTGTCCCTCTCTGCTCCATCTTCTCTTTGCTTTTCTCACTTCCCTCTGATATATTTCCCTACCTATCTGT